ACCATCATCATCATCTTCGTCATCATTTTCATCATAATCATTATCATCATCGTTGTCGTCGTCATTAGTTAAGTTGCTCATAGGCATGCACCATATTTTCACAGCACAGCTTCTACTACCATTGGCTCGGTCGGCCTAACTGAAGCAACTCGAATGATACTACTTTCTCTCTCTCTCTTTTCTCTCTCATTTCTTTCTCTTTCTCTCTCTTTCTCTCTCTCTCCTTCTATTTCTTTCTGCCTCTCACACGCACACGTTTTTTAACTTTTTTCTCATTTTCCCTTCTCACTACCTCTTGTTCTTTTCTTTTCTTTGCCCTTCCTCTGCACCTCTATCTTCCTTCAAATTCTCTTTATCACTCTCCCTTTTATTTGTTTATTTTTGTTCATTGGATCATTCCAATATTTCCTTATTTTTTCCTCCCTCTTTCTCTTTTTCTTTCTCTCTTTTCTCTCCCCCTTTCTTTCCTTCTCTATCTTTTTCTCTCTTTATTCGATTGTTTTTTTATATCTTTTCTATAGCATAGACAAACAATCTTCATAACACACCTATCTACAACATAGACATTTTATCATTCCGACGATAAACAAATGATTACAATGACGTCATTGACACGTAGAATTTAAAAAAATGTATTTGTGGAGATTAAAAATAAAACAATAACAACAATCAATAAATTTTTCTTAAACCCATTAAAAGATACAAAACGATAAAATGTAATACAACACCATCCAATACAATACAATAGAAAACAACAAAACAAAACAAAAAACTACAAAATACGATATAATACAAAACAATACATCAAAGTGCAATACAGACAGTGAAACATGACAAGCAGCCGAGTAGTACAGCGACAGTACAAAAGTACAGAAATTGTACAGTAAAGTACACACGTGTAGTGAACAGCAGCAAACAGCAATACTGTATTATAGAGCATTGTTTCGTTACAGTACATCTGTCACCCAAGCTACACATCATAAGCAGAGAAGCTGACGTCGTCATCGTCTTCATCGTCGTCGTCATCATTTTTATTATCACTTTCTTAGTCATATGAACTTTTGCGTCATAATCATCATCTTTATCATTATCATCGTCATCAATATTACCTTCTGCATCACCTCATCAAAATTTTAGCATCCATATCATCATCCTCATTATAAAACTAACATCGTCTGTGCCTGTGCAGTTTGTATGGTAATGTTTGTACTCAGGAAAACATACATACATATACATACATACATACATACAAACATACATACATACATACATACATACATACATACATACATACATACATACATACATACATACATACATACATACATACATACATACATACATACATACATACATACATACATACATACATACATACATACACCCATACATACATACATACATACATAAATACATACAAACATACATACATACATACATACATACATACATACATACATACATACATACATACATACATACATACTTACTTACATACATACATACATACATACATACATACATACATACATACATACATACATACATACATACATACATACATACATACATACACCCATACATAAGTGTGTGTCTGCTACGTGTAGTTAGAAAAAGCTAAGCAGGTAGATAGATGGTTGACTGGCTGAATGTATGTTTATATGAATGAATGAATGAATGAATGAATAAATGAATGAATGAAAAAGCAAATAAATGAATGAATAGATAGATGGATGGATTGATAGTGGCAAAGTGTATATATACTGTGAGAAGTTGGATGGACAATTTACAAGAAAAACATTTTCAAATGTTGATTTGAAAATTATTATTATCATTATTGTTATTATTTTTATTCATGGTTTTTATATTTACTTTTAATGGCTGTTTATTTTTTATTTCTATTATTATAAGTTTATATAAAAATTATTTTATTAATCTGTTGTGAAATTCGAATTTCCAAATTTGATCCTGTTATTTTCAATTATTTTCAGTTGATTTTTTCATGATTCCCACTCCGCGCTGTTGAGATCTTTGGTTAGTTGTTGGTGTCTCGTTTCGTTTCGTTATTTTTTTCTATATTTCGTCTCGTTTCGTTTGTTGTTGCTGCTTTTGTTAACCTTTGGAGTTGTGTTGATGTTGCTGTTGTAAGGGCAGTTGTTGTTGTGTTATTATGTTGTTGCCGAATTATGCAAACATTTCAATGATATTTTGGTCTAAGTTTTTTACTCAACTATAGAAAAAGTTTGAAATGTGCGTGACTCCTCTGCCACATGTTGTATAAATACTAGAGATTCTCTTACAGATATACTGAGCAGTTCACGATTTCAAACAACTTGTTTTGAGGTTTATTATATTTTTTTCGAACTATGCTTTCAAATAAGTTGCCTTTCATTGCTACTAATTAAAATGAGTTGTGATTGAGGGTGCAAACAGACACACACACACACACACACACACACACACACCACACCACACACACACACACACGAACAAACAAACAAACACACAGACAAACAATTTAGCAAAATTTCAGATGTTTCAAACACAACTTGAAACATTCACACATGCTGTGATTTGTAAATTGGCTGCGATTTGATGTATCTGCTTATCATTTATTTTCACTTCATTTATTTTTATTTTTACTAAAACATTTTGATTTAAGAACCATTTCTACAATGGAAACGTTGTTATTTTTCCAATTCTTCCATAGTCTCACAAATAAAGTAATGAATTTTGTATCATTTGACAGCACGGCGTACGTTTGAATTATTCAACCGAATAGCCGGCGGTTTGATGACGGTAATGTTCTCAGAAACCGGTACTCGTACGATGAATCGGGAGGAGGAACATCGCTTGCTGAACATCTGCTCGCCAGCATTACGGTTTGCTCGGTTCGCAATGTTTGCCATCATCATCATCATCATCATCATCGTCATCATCATCGTCATCATCATCATCGTCACCATCATCATGAGTTTATTATGCTAACAGCAGACATTATTATCGATCTAATCGTATCAACGTATCATATCATATTAATCCGCGCACGAATACAAAACTGCATTTTAATAATTTTATTTTTTTTTTAATTACAAAATAAAACGTGATTGTGCTGTTGTTGATGATGTTGTTATTGTTGTTGTTATTGTTGATGATGTTGTTGCTGTTATTGTTGTTGCTGTTGTTGTTGATGTCGTTGTTGTTGTTGTTGGTGTAGTTTGCTGTTGGTGTAATTTGTTGTCGCTGTTGTTGACTCACTGCGTATGTTTATTTAGGATGTTATTTGCATACATGCTTTTCAGGCATGCACTTATTTTATTTATATTTTTGCGTCGAACCGATTTAATTTTTTTTTTATTTAAAATTATTATTTTATACCGACATATCGGGTTTTTATAACCATAATTCTACTACTTTCTATATTTCAAAAGGCCTTCCAGGTAAATAATTTTGTCAAATAACTTTGAAAAACATAAAAAAAAAACAAAAGCAAGTTGTTGCTGGTAGGTTGGCAGGCCAGAAAAACATCCATACTTTAAAGTTATGTTCTATTTCATTTTTATTCTGTAGAAATTGATTTGTATCTTGAAAAAATGGAAGTCATTTTGTTGGTTATTATTCAATTAAAAGTATATGACCTGATAGAGTTTAATATATTTTTAACTGTTTTTATTTTTTAATAATTAATTTTTTCATTAGTTTACTCATTTATATAATATAATTAATGTTGTTGATAATTTTTTTTGTTCTGCAGACAGACAGACAGACAGGCAAGCAAGAGGGCATTTGTGAACATGTGGGGCAAGTTTGTGCTAACTAAACTTTATCGTCAGCAAAGAGTACATCAATAAACAATCAAATAACAATAGAACAACATAAAACAGTAAGCAACAATACATAAAAATACATAGCAATACCCAACCATATCCAAACATACAGAGAAACAGACAACTTAACAAAGACATCTATCTCATTTAACCTTCCTAACTTTTGATTGCTGCTCAGAAGTCTTTGAGACATACAAACGAACACTGGCGTATGAGTGCATGCGTGCATATGCGTGTACATATGTGTGTACATATGCGTGTATATATGCGTGTACATATGCGTGTACATATGCGTGTACATATGCGTGCATATGCGTGTACATATGCGTGTATATATGTGTGTACATATGCGTGTACATATGCGTGCAAGTGCGTATGTGTGACTTTCAGTAATAAGAGGGTTCGAGTTGCAATCAAAACGTTTCTGGAGGTTCTGTCGTCCTAATCAGTCTTGCATTGTTTTTTTCTTAAATATTTTTTACAATTTTGAAAATTTACAATTTTCGTTTATGTTATTTGTTATCTTGTCTCTATTTTTAATAAAATATTTTGTTGTTGATAAATGTTAAACACACAATAAAGAATGTGTTATTTTTGTTAACAAGACAACTGTTCGAATTTGTCGCTTCCATTTTTTAAATTAAATTCACTTGTTTGAAAATAATTTTGCCAATACTTCGATATTATTTTCAAAGTTTTCATTTGATCTTATCATCATCAGCTTCATTTTCTTCATCTTTTCATTATCATCATTATCATCTTCGTCATCGTTATAATATGTTAGGTGAATGACACATAAAAATTTTTCATCATGAATTTTCTTTAAAAAATTTCAAATAGCGAGAAAATAGTTTTTTATGCTTTGAGTAACGATAATATTTATTGAGAATAAATTTGAGAGAAGAGATGAACGTTGTTTACACAATCGATGACGAATCGTTAAATAAATTCAGGTGCACTACCCGGACTTGAATTAAAATATTAATTAACAAATCATGAGATCATTCGCCGATCAGGTTTTTATCGATCATAATAGTTCAGAATAATTTATTAACATCATCGTCATCATTTTCATCATCATTCTTATTGTCAAAATAAATTTTATTTTATCATTATCATCGTTTGCTTCACTAATAACATCACCACAATCATCATCTTCATCTTTTCATTGGCTTATTCGTTGATGACCGATTTTTCTTTCTTTCCATTGGTTGATTTTAAATTTTCGGAGGCCAATGACGAGCTTTCAAATTTGTGACCGCTGCTTCTTTTGTCCAATAAGGAATCGCCAAACGGCTCCAAGAAATAACGTTTCTGAACAACATCATCGTTAATATAAAAATCCAAATGCTTCTTACGACTGTCCACTTTTGCTGGTTTGACCAATGGCACATTCTCATACATTCTGTAGTTGCTTCTCTTGTCCAACAGCGAATCACCGAAAGGTTCGAGAAAGTATCTTTTTTGATGTCGGCTTCCATCAAAATGGCCATATTTGCCAGAGTAGGCTACTTCATAGGGTTCAGACTGGTACCTTACATTGTCCAGCTGGCTCGGGTACAAACCTCGGTAGGAGGACCTCTTGTCCAGTAAGGAGTCTCCGAATGGTTCGAGGAAATATTTTTTTTGCATCTCGAGGTCATCATCATCTTGATCGTAAGCTCTGGCGGGGTAGCTCAATGTTCTGCTGGTTGTGATTGGTTGTGGTTGGTTGTGGTTGGTTGTGGTTGGTAGGTTTTTTTGTGGTTGTGTTGTTTGGGTTTGTTATGAATATTAAATGTCCGTTTCTAAGTTGAATTATTTGCTGAAAATTTAATTTATCAATATACCCAATAAAACATTTAAAAATTTGAGAACATAATATTGATCAATATGTAAGAAAATGTAGATAGGAGAAGGTAGGTGCAGGTAGATGCATGTTAGGAATTTTATAAAAGATCAATTTAGCCATTAATTACGTATGACTAAAATCAGAATGAAATGAATAAATGTCGATTGAATGATCTTACGGTAGAATGCACAGAGCCTGTAGGACCAGCAACAGAGTCGGAACAATACGCAGTATCAGCGCCATCTGGAAAAAAAGAAAAAAATATTTCTGAATTGAGGAAATTTCATCAAATCATTTTTAAAGACGCTAAGTAGTACCATAATTTTTGTATAAAACCGTTATTTTTGATTAAATGTTACGTTCACATCTTTTAAAGTGAAGTATTATTAAATTATTTTTATAGAAACATTAGCGATTAGAAATAATTAATGTTTTTAGGCTAATTTTTATTTTTTTAACTTTTAAAAGTCAGCTGATTTGATAAATAGCAATAAAATTTACTTGCCAATCATTTTATTGAAATAATTTAATATACCAGCAATTAATTTATGAAAGACTTGATAACAAAATTTGTTATTTCATTCTGAAAAAACTGCTCGTTCTTTGCCGGCCTAAAGTCTTCAATAGTCAAAATTCGGCCATAGACATGAATAATCATTCTAACTCGATTCAAATTTGATGATTCCAACTAGAAATAATCGCTACGCATTCATTCCATGCTTCATATTATCTAACGAAGGCACGTCATGAGTAAAAAATAGTTCCGCATTCTTGTACCAGCGTTTAGAAAATAAATAGTAACGGTGTTGCGAGCCAAATGGTTTAATGGTTTAATGATTGATTCTTTAAATGGTTTAATGGTTTAACTTTAAATCCGGTATTGATATTGCCTAATTGATACTGATGATCCAACTTTTGAGTTTTGAGTGTTGTTAAGAGCCCTGCAAAGCTAGCAACAACACTGTCCGGTTTAAAAGCGCCTTAAAACTATCTAGTAATCACATCGTATAACACGGAAAATAATATCCATTCTCTCGACAATAAAAACAATAAAAACAAAAACAAAAAACAAAAAAACAAAACGAAAAAACGACAAAGAAATTGAAAAATAAAATCGTTTGAAGTTGATTTGTTTTACAACTACTGGAAAATTGGAGATGTTTATTAAGAGGATGATTGATCGATGCATTCAAGTTGCATTTGATGCAGCAATGACGTCAGCGATGATGACGATGAGGTGGATGATGATGATGATAATTCAACTACTGACGACAATGATGGTGGTGATATACGAATGAAAATGGTAATAAAAATAATAAATAATTTTAAAAAATAAGAATATCATGGAAATTGTAACATAAAAACTATAATAATAACATCAAAAACAAGACCAACATTTAAACAAACAACAAACAATATCAAAAATTAAAAAATTTGTAAAAGATAAAAAATATATACAAAGCAAAAGCGTTAATAAAATTATCTTTTAGTCTATATGTTAATCCTAGAATGCGAATGTGATGTTGTTTACTGCTGGTTGGCTGTGTGTATGTAATGTAGGCAGAGATGAAGTGTAATTATTTGTTAATTTTCTTTTTGGTTCATACGAAATTATTATCATGAGAAATGTATTTATGAAAATAATAATTATAAATAATTTTATGTCATAAATAAATTATTAAATTTAAATAAATAAATAAAGCAAGCAAGCTAAAGTAAGTCAGTATCGACCGCTGAAATTATTAATTGAAAACACTGCTTAACAACAATTGTTCAACTCCAACACTGTCTTTCCCAAACAAAGATATAACTTAACAATGCAAGATGAACGCATTGTTGAGAAAGAATTTTTCTAATAGAAGAAAAAAAAATTTTTTTCCACTCAAAACACAATGACGATGTCGGCAAAGGCAGAATTCAAAATATATATTGGAAGGGTCATCAACTACGTCATCAACTTCGTCATCATATTTGCCACCATCATCATCATCATCGTCATCATTCTTTTTTATTTATCATCATCATTTCCACCCACCATCGATATATAACCACACACAACTCAATCGTCATCATCATCATCATCATCATCATCATCGTCATCATCATCATCGTCATCATCATCGTCATCATCCTTATCATCATCATCATCATCATCCTTATCATCATCGTCATCATCATCATCCTTATCATCAATATGAACATTTTTACATCGTGATTTTTCTCCTTATTATCACATTCTCTACAAACTTAACCACCCACATCTCCAAACACAATCAACTTAGTTACGAAGAACAGATGGCACTAATGCACTACTGTACGGAAACAAAACCACATTCGCCAAGGGATAGAGAATGAAAATGCGGCAAATTGGCGAAAATTTGCGCCATTTTTTAACATGTTAATGTCGTTGTTTATGATTTCTATTTCTGATGAAGTTTCAATTGCAGAAGAACGTTCCGCTAATGCCGTTGCTAGCCAATAATAGTTAATGTCACTTGAGGAAATTTTTTTATTTCGCAAATAAACTCGATTACACGCTTTCGTGAATAAAAATACATAAGTACACAAGCAGATAAACAAACAAACACACAGACAAACAAACAAACAATACAAAAAAAGGATTATGAGAAAGACAAAAGCTGACAAAAGAAACACAAAACATTTCAGTACAACAAAGTTGTGTACTATATATACAAAAATACATTCAAACATAATACTTTTAGATAAATATATAGACATATACAATACAGCATTACAACATCATAGTACAAACAAAATAGTACAGAAAAAAATCTTACATACAGACATGTAGACAAACATACAAAGATACAAACACAAAAACAAACAAACATTTAAATTAAACATCATACAAATGTACACATACAAACATACCGACAGAGCACTTGGAAACATATAGACAGACATACAAACATTTAGACAGACATATAAGCATTCAGACAGGTACAAAAACCTCTATAACAGAAACAGACACGACAAAGACAGACTGGCAGACTTTGTTAAATTTTCTTCTGACATTAACCAAGAATTATTTAAACTAACGAGTTAACTAATTGTATATAGTTTCATATAATAACTACATCGTCGTTATCGTCATCATATTTTTGGTTCATGTCATCATTTTAATGTTCATCTTTGTTGTCAGCATTTTTGTTTTATCATCATCCTTCCTAATCATCATAACTTCACTTAAGATCATTTCATTATCACATGTACAGTTGAAATGAGAGCTAGATGAACGAATGAATGAAGGAATAGATTGATAGTTGGATAATTGGATGGATAGCTAGATAGTTAGGTAAATAGATAGATGGTTGGATAGATGCATGGGTAGATAGATGGACGGACATACAGACGGGTGAATGAATAAACACATGAATAGCAAAACAAAAGTATAAAATTGATATAGAAATAATTACATAGCTCCACCAACCGGTCAATAAACATAAAACAAAACAAAAATTAAATCGAAAGACGAAAAATTGTAAAGAAATAAATAAAAAATAAACGCGAAATAAGTAAGATTGATAGATATATGGAATAACGGAATGGATGCTTGCATGGTGCCACAGATATCATCAACAGTGTATAAAGAAATGCATGAATATATATATATATATGTAGGATAGTTCATTATATGACCAAATTGTTCATTTACTTATAAACGTTATAAAACTGTCAGACTATCCATAAGAGAGATGAAAGTCAGTGCTAAAGATATTGAATGCAGACACGCAAATTTTTCATCAGTTATCGTCTGCTTAATCAAGAATACTACTGAGAAGGATAGTTAAAGATACACTCACACTTATACACACACACACACACACACACATAGATGCACGCATACAGACATACATTTACACACATGCATATATACACATACATACACATTCATTATAAGATTTGGTTTATCGTAGCAATTCAACTGTTTTCTTTTTGTTTTTTTTTATAGACAGTGCTTTTGAGAAACATTTTGTTTGTAATTAGCGCTATACAAATTTTCGAGTAATAATAATACACACACATACACACACACAAGGAGATACATATGTACTAAGTAAAACGTAAACATGCAGACTAACACATACACACATTTCTTGGCTATCTTACAGGAAAAGTTGCATGATTGAATTACACTTTTGAAATGTTAATTTGAAATATATTTGTTTTTTTTCAGGATATACCGGATATCCGGACGTGGAGTCTCAATTAGTGTCTTTTTCCGTTAAAAACACTGCACGCGATAGGCGAAGGTCTCTGCTTTCGAGCTCTGCCTCTCCAACACAAGAGTCAGGCGTCTTAACCATTTCGCTACATTGCTACTAAATATACAATAAGCAGATAAACGACCACCAAACAAAACACACACTCATGTAAACAATCAAACTAATTTATGAATTTCAAGCATCTATTTATACATACATCATTTTTATATCATGATACACGCCCCTCTCCACACACACATACATACACACACAAACACTTATACAAACACACACACACACACACAACACATACACACACACACCTACACACACACACACACAACACACACTAACACAAATTTAAACAATAGTTCGTTTAGCTGACAGTGAATGAATACGGTCAGAACAACGATACATAATACGTTCGAAGAATATGCACCGCCGGAACGCAAATAAATCCTTATAATGTAATGTGGAACGCACAAATTGTAGGTGCTATTATATCTCTTTCTCTGTATGTGTGTGTGTGCGTGTGTGTGTGTGTGTGCGTGCGTGTGTGTGTGTGGGTGGGTAGGTGTATTTTCTTGTGTGCGCGCGTATATGTGTAATAACTTTGTTCGTTTTCAATTAGGGCTTGTATCGATCGGAGCGCATGGAGCCTTATGGATAAATAAATAAGTTGAATGATTGAATGGAAAAATGAATGAAGGAATAAACGAATGAATGAAAAAATAAATGAATGAATAAAAAATAGAGTGAACAAATGAATGAATGATGGAATGAATGAGTGAAAGAATGAATGAATAGTTGAATAATGATGTTAACAATGAACAATACATCTTCCGCTATAGGGTTCCTTCACATGGTGTCTGATGCTTGGATGGTTGGTTGGAAAAAATTGAAGACAGCATACACACACACATACAAACACGCACATACACACACACACGAACATACTCACAGACATACAAACATCTCAAACACATATACACAGACATTTTAAACACAGGCACACAG